GAAAAATACAAATCAAGTTCTTTGCACTATGAAATAAATCATTTTATTTGGACGCAAAATGTTTCATTTTATTGATTATAGCTCGTGCACATTTTTTAATGGATATTTTAATGTTTAAATATGACTTGTTTGTTCAAGAACTGTCAAAAATTCTCAACACCGTAACGAAACTAAAAACGAAAAAAAGCAGACATAAGTTAATAAAACATGCCGAAAGTAGTTTAGAATGTAGAACTTCTTGTTTCAAATCTTTTAAAGTATAAATCTGTTATTCCATTTGTTTAAAATTTAGCATTATGACTTATTACAACGCGTCATCTCTACATTACGTATATTTTGCCATGTTCTAAACCCAATATGATCGTTTGACGTTTTCCCACCACCATTAAAGTAACTTTACCTGGGAGGATAAGTGCAGGGCAATGATAATATAAGTAAAATATATGCGAAAAGGGGCATCGGGCAGCTTATGGAAAAATTTAGGCATTCGTTACGGTGTTGAAGTTGAGTTACGGTGTTGAATGTGTGTTACGGTGTTGAAGCAGAATGATTCACACAAAATAAGTTTGGTGCGCAAATGAAAACTAAACTGCAAATTGCATAACAATCTGATCCACAATACTAGAAAATCTTTTTTGTTTCACATTGTATATAAATCTGAATTTTGAATCAAAAATTTTATTGGGAAAAACATGTCGTAGGCCTATTTTGTAAATGAGCACTACGAAACTGTATCAGTATCATAATGTGGATAAAAACATTCTCATTAACAAGAATTTACTTTTATTTAAACAAAACTAATCAATACAAAATTGTAATTCAATAAGGTATTTAAAATTAAAATTAACCAACAAATGTAGATAAAAGTGAACTAATCATAAAATTGAAACAATCTAGCTAATTACGTCCAAATACTCTTTGGTACCTGATATTGATAAAGTTCTCTGCGAGAGCTTATTCTCTCTCGTGCATGAATCATAGTTACTATTTTAGAATACGCGTACCAAATGACATCTATGAATGCAGGCAATACGAATTTGTTACTACAACTACAAGAAGAACAGAAGTTAGTTTATCTTCAAAAATTTTGAGAATTTGCAGGCCTTAGTCACAATCATTACTACCTATTAGTCCATAATTTAATGAAATCGAATAGGACTGGCATAAATTGATCTCTTTATTTTCGATGCTTTTGGATATTTGAGGGTATGTGTATGTCTAAAAACTTATGTAATGTATAAAAAACTCAACACCATAACAAAATTTCAACACCGTAACGATAATATTCGTGACGGTGTGTGACGGTGTGTGACGGAGTTGAGAAATTTAACATTATCTTTCATTAGCTCGTTAATGTATTCATCTGCAGGACTACTTTCAATGGTGACCGCCGAGAATCGATTTTTTATTTCGAAAAATCATTTTTATACAAAGGTTTAATCATTAGACATTGTGAAATCTGCGTAACGGTGTTGAAGGGGAATTAAAATACTAGCCTTATTTTTGATAAATATTATTACTTACTGTTTATTCAGCTAATATTATTGTTGAAAGATCAATTCGACGTCGACGAGCACCAGGAATAGTAGCGTGTGCAAAAAGCTACATTGTAAAGTGGCAGTTGTAATTTCACTCCGCAACAAAATAAGATCCCGTTACGGTGTTGATAAATTATTTAGGGACACCCATAAAATGTTTTTTTATTTAAAAACAAATACCATATCATAAGAAACCATTTCTATTAATCAATTCTACAAATGTTTGTTCACATAGAAAAACAGTTTTTATGAATTTTAAGCTGTCTGAAGTCTAAGTGAAGTGAGCTTGAAAATAAAAAATGCCGATCGGGACATTTAAAATAGGCTATTTTTCAGGGGGGAGACATTCTTTAAAGAATCTTCAAGAAATTATGTGTTGAAGAAATGAGTATTAAATAATTGTCTTGAATCATGTTAAGATCGATTTAAATGATACATAATGAAAAATAGAGAAAAAGTATATTTTATTGAAATGTATCGACCGGGACAAAAAATCAGTAAAACTGCACGTTAATGGGAGAATGTACGGAGCCCCTAAGGCGCAATTGTAAACATATTTATTTATTATTTCGTTTAAACGAAATAATTATTTCGTTTAAACGAAATAATTAATTCGTTTAAACGAAATAACATCATTTATTTCGTTTAAACGAAATAATATTTCGTTTATTTCGTTTAAACGAAATAATATTTCGTTTAAACGAAATATTTTGTGATTCTAAAGACATTTTCTGTGAATTAAAATAGTTATTCTCTGTATTTTAGATAGCCTACTGGTAAGATAATGGCCACTACACCAACACCACAAGCTTTAGCCATGAGTCTAGGGTGTTCAGTGACGTCACGCAATCTTGTCTAAAATGGCGAAATCGTCACCTTCACGTCTTTAACAGATCATCATCTAATTCCACAATTTTTTAACCAGATATGTTATACATCACTAAAAGTGGAATTGAATAAGCTTTTTAACAATAATTGTACTTATTTTTTGTATCGGTGCTATCTCGAGAAATAGTAAGTTGAAGTCGAATTTTTGGCTGACGGCCATCTTCTCGCTCATGGCACAACTTTTCGCGAAAATGGATGCTTTTTTTAAACGAATTTCCGGGAGAATTGGCTGGACCAATTTTGACATAATTTTTTTTTTTAATTTTTGTGAAAATAGCGCCGAATTTCCTGGAAAACATCAAAAAATTTTGTATTTTCCGAGGCGCAAAAAAATTATTTCAGTCAGATTATATTTCTATGTTTATTCCCCCAAATCCCAGTTTTTGTGTTTTTTAATTTCGTTCTGCTAGTTCTCCCGGAAATTGATTTGAAAATAGGTAGGGTGTTGCAGAATCAAAATCCTTTCAAATATGCCGACAAACTTGCGTGTCACGTGATACACATGTGTACACACAATAATGTTTGATCAATAAGACGTAAATGGCAGTGGTGTGGTTAATGACTCGACACGTTTGGATGACTTTGACTAAAAACTTTGACCTTTCAACCGCAGTCTCAGAAAATTAACGGTAAAGTTATTTTTCGTTTATAATGGGATAAATAACATTAAAAAATCATCGTGAATATTACTAAAATTTGGTTGCTTAGTCATTGCAATAAATGTAATTCAACATTCGCATTCAAATGTCCAGATTTTCGTAGTTCCTCCTCCAGAAATATTTGAATTGATTCACAAATGTTTACTTTCATTTTTCTCACTCTCAACTTTTTCTTTGAATTGAATAAGATCATCTCATCAAGCAATCGACATCATTGCTTGCTTGGCACATTTATATCATATTTTCCAATTTTTCTTTGCACAATCAGTGTAGGGAGTTGGTTGGACGTCATTAAAGTCCATAGGCATAGGATAGGCTTAGTTTGATCTACTCTAAAACTAGAAAATCTGAGATATTACCATTCAAATATTTGGGGCCTTTACTTGGACATATAATCTACATGGAATTATTTTGATGATTTTCTTATTTTATTACAGATGCAGAAAATCAATGTTTTATGTGATATTAATTAAATAATCAGTTCTCAGATGTGAAGGTAAGTGAATTTTTTAATGGGACAAAATTAAATATCATAAGTGACAGTAGATCTAGTTTAGTCGACCTAAGCTTACTTCAAAATAAAAACCCACATTAATTAGGGAAACATATTTTATTGATACTGGTAACGATTAAATGAAATAGGTTCCCCATAGATTTTTAACATCTTTATGTAGGCTACTCAAAACCTCATTTTCTTTATTTTGTAGATGGAGAAGGAAAAACAGAAAACAGTGTAAAGCATCAAGAATAAGGTAAATATTGTTTCAAAAAAATTGTTCACCGATTGTGGAGTTTGAATTGAAAAATTAAAAAAAAAAAATTGTTAACTTGCATATTTTGAAATATTTTCTTCAGTTGACTTCTGTAATTAGCTTGTGGTCAAAGGGAGATAATTTGCTAACCCTAGGTTAGGGTTAGGGTTAGCACCCAAAATTTAAAACTTTTCAATTTTTTTTTTATTATTATTTCAGGAGTGCTATGTTTTGGACTGCTCAGTGATATGTAAATACAAGTCAACTTGGCATAGAGTTAAATTTGCAGCGCTGTCTGTGACAAAGGTAGAATTCACTGCCTAAAAATCTTTTTTTTTAATTTCAAGAAATATTTTAAATATTTTTTAAGAATTATTATGATTATTTTAATTTATTTTTTTGATCAAAATTTTTGACAGGTTCTAAGTTTTGATTGTAAAGTGATATGTGACTTCAATTTAATTTGTGGTCAAAGGGAGACAATTTCCTGTGACCAAGTTAGTTTTTAGGACTTTAATATTTTGTTTTAAATTTTTTTTCATTTTTTTTATATATATTTTTTTCTTTGAATTCTTTCAGGGGTTCTAATGTTGGACAGCAAGGTTCTATGTGATTAATTCTGGTACCATTAGAATCCTGTAAAAAAGAGCTTTAAAATGATATATTACAAGTGTATATTAAGTGAATGAAAAAATTTTTGTTCATTTTTAGGAACTATTTGCATCATCGCGTACGAAGTGGCGGCCATTTTGAATGAAAATAGTTGCCATGGAAACGAAGCATGTAAATTTTAATCTTAAAATGGTAATTTCTCTAAATTGTCTTGGAATTTCGAAATTTTTTTTGAAGTCAATTTCGTTGCAAATGTTCCAAAATTTTACGAAACTGAAAGAATTTTGTAAATGTTTTGAAAATTAAAAAAGTTATTTGCATTTAAGCGTGTTTTATTTTATTAAAACTCTCACTTTTTGTGCCGTTAACCTTTGACCTTTTTGTTGAACCAAAGAAGGAGCATTTTAGACAAAAAGAACCCCCGATTCTTCGACTTCAAACTGCCATAACTTTTGAGCTAATTGAGATATTTTCAATCTGAAAACTGTGTTTTCACCTTTGAAAAGAGCTGGTTCTTTTTAGCTTATTTTCATTGCTCTAGCATTGTAAACATGAGAAAAAGGAGAGCAAGATTAAAAGAAGATGCAGAAGTGTATGAAGACTATAGATCAAAAGAAAGAAAAAGATTACAGAATTTAAGAAAGAATTTATCCCCTGAACAAATCGCTAAAAATAGAGAAGCATCAAGACTAAGAATGGTGAAGATGAGACAGATAAGAAAACAAAATTGTAAGGAAAACGAAACCAATAATACAAACTTAGTTCGAAAAACTAGATTAAGTACTGATCAACAGCAGAAACAGAGAGAATCATGGAAACTGAAGAAAAGAGAGCAAAGGTTGAATATGTCATTCCAAAAGAAAAGGAGAATAAGGGAAAAGGATGCTAAGGAAAAGAAGTGTAAAAGAGCCTTGTTGCAGGAGAAGAATTCAACAGAAGATTACTGTAGTTCTAATGATAACTTAGCATTTCCTTCAGATGCAGCAAAACGACAAGCTTTATGCCGTGTTAAATCCAGCTTCCCAAAAAAATCTTCTGTAAGATATGCTGTTGTAGTGGCAAATCTGATAAAAACGGCTAGTCCCAAAAAAGTTGCAGCTTTGAAGGAACATGGTGTTGAAGTCAAACAACAGGATCAAGATATTCTAGCCTGTGTTAGGAAATCGCTTAAAACAGTTAAAAGAAGTACCAAAAGGCAGTTTGTAAGCAATATAGCTTCAATACTTGACCAAAAACATGGATTGAAAAAGAAAGCATCCAAATGTTTAGGTATTTCCTGGAATTTTTTAATGAAATACTCCAAACTGAAGAAAAAGAATGCAGATGTGGACCAAAGAAAAAAACGTTCAGATGCCACACCAGCTAGTACAATTGATGCAATTCATGATCACTATGAAAGGCCTGATATGTCAACCATATTACCAAACCGCAAGAGTATTGCCCAGGGTCAACCTAAACATGTTCTTCAACGGTCCGTTGAAGCCACTTTCAAGTCATTCACAAACGATAACCCATCACTTAAAATATCAGAAAGCACCTTTAATAAATTACGCCCTAAACACATCCTACTGCAGTCTAAATCCAAATTTTATCAATGTCTATGTGAACCATGCACCAATATTGACCTGAAATTAAAAGTACTCAACCATGAAGTCTACCAATGCCAATCAACCTCCTGCTCCATAAGAGACAGATACCATGCCACAGATTTGACACTATGCCCCAAAGATCAAAATCCTCATGCAAAACTGGAGTGTATTGATCGGAAATGTGAAATTTGTGACGTAGATTTGTTAGATCACTATTTGCAACCACTATTGAATGTGAGTGGAGATAAAGATGTATCCTGGGAGTATTGGGGACAGGCAACGTATGGTAACGAAGGTAAAAAGAGAGTAGCTCTTCTACGATCATCAGGGACAGTAAAACAACTGGTAGACCAATTAAAAGAAGAATTGATTTCATTGTCGACGCATTTATTCATAGCCAGGTGGCAACAGAATGTATTTTACACCATAACAAAAAACCCACCAACCAACAGTATTGTTATGGTCATGGACTTTGCCGAAAACTATCTTTGTGTAATGCAAAACGAGGCCCAAAGTGCACATTGGTATCAGATGCAGGTAACACTTCAACCTATGGTGTGCTTTTACCAATGTGACACTTGTGAGAAAACTGTGCGTGAAGCGATTAATATCATATCAGATGACATGCAGCATGATGCCCATGCTATGCGATGTTTTATTGAAACTGAAACTACTGCATTCAGTAGTCTGCATCAAGCCTTTTCATTTGAAGACACGCCGTCTCTCCTGCTTTTGTGAGAGCTGTGAAAATTATGGTTCAGAATGTTTGAATTCCTGCTATGTCACTAAATGGAGCAACACTATTTTAAAAGTTAAGAAAGGTTAGTTGAAAATTATATTTATGATGTAGTTACTTGGCTGGCAGTAAAGTCATTTTGATGTTTTGCATTATATCTAGTATGATTAGTGTGGTTAGATCCTGCTGTCAACTACCATTCACCTGTGAAAGAAGATTCCTTATCAATTGGTTTCTATAGACATAGTTAAAATCTATGTTAATTATTGTATTTGGCGTCAGAACTTGCCCTTGCTGGGAACTTATTTTAACTTTATTTTTTTTAGTAAAACCAGATGAAAAGTTAGAACAAGATGAAAAGTTAGAACAAGATGAAAAGTTAGAACAAGATGAAAAGTTAGAACAAGATAAAAAAGTTAATAGAACAAGATGGAAAGTTAGAACAAGATGGAGAGTTAGTAGAACAAGATGAAAAGTTAGAACAAGATGGAGAGTTAGTAGAACAAGATGGAGAGTTAGTAGAACAAGATGAAAAGTTAGTAGAACAAGATGGAGAGTTAGTAGAACAAGATGGAGAGTTAGTTGAACAAGATGAAAAGTTAGAACAAGATGGAAAGTTAGTAGAACAAGATGGAGAGTTAGTAGAACAAGATGAAAAGTTAGAACAAGATGGAAAGTTAGTAGAACAAGATGGAAAGTTAGTAGAACAAGATGGAGAGTTAGTAGAACAAGATGGAGAGTTAGAACAAGATGGAAAGTTAGTAGAACAAGATGGAGAGTTAGTAGAACAAGATGGAAAGTTAGAACAAGATGGAGAGTTAGTAGAACAAGATGAAAAGTTAGAACAAGATGGAAAGTTAGTAGAACAAGATGGAGAGTTAGTAGAACAAGATGGAGAGTTAGTAGAACAAGATGGAGAGTTAGTAGAACAAGATGGAAAGTTAGAACAAGATGGAGAGTTAGTAGAACAAGATGGAAAGTTAGTAGAACAAGATGGAGAGTTAGTAGAACAAGATGGAGAGTTAGAACAAGATGGAAAGTTAGTAGAACAAGATGGAGAGTTAGTAGAACAAGATGGAGAGTTAGTTGAACAGGATGGAAAGTTAGTAGAACAAGATGGAGAGTTAGTTGAACAGGATGGAAAGTTAGTACCAGACAGAGCATCAATACAAAAGTAAGTGGTTAATTATTAATACATTATACCAATTCATCTAAAATATAGGTTTTGTTATGGGAAGGATATAAAAGCTGCTTTATCGTGTGACAAGAAAAATAAATGGATAATGATTACAATACAAATTTTACATTGACCATGATTATTTTTGATAATGTTTATTCAAAATCAATTACTAGCTATCAACTTGGGCAATTTGTGGTGGTAAGCATACCAGTAGGACAAAACTTTAAAGAATATGTTGCGGAGGTAATAATTAGAAGTTGAAATATATGTTGAAAGTTTAATGTTCTGGTTTCCTTGTTGTTTTTTTTTTAAGTATTGATTATTTATTTTAGTACTTTTATCATGTAATTCAATTATTTATTTTGATGATATATTTGATAAGTTTAAACTAGTGATTAATATTAATTTCTTAACATTGATCAGAAGTTCAATGATATTTTAATCAATTTAATATAGCCTTTCTTAATGGCATTACTTCAGATTAATACAGCCTTCAAATTTAGTGGAATGATTTTATACTTTTCGATTTCATATCTTTAATTATTTTATTTTCATTTAGGTCAAAGAAATTAATGAAAATGGTTATTACCTTCTCCAATACATGGAGAAAGTTAAAGATAATGTTTATAAATGGCCCATCAATGTTGATGTTTCAACGGAATCTCCTACCAGTATTGTAAGGCAGTTGCCTCTACCAATCTTATTAGAACATAGGAGCAATACCAGAATTCAGTTTTATTCCTTTTAAAGTGTTAATATTTATTTTAAAGATGGATTTTGTTTTTAATATGTTACAAACGTTAATTAAAATGCTTTTTGATTTTAAATTTAATGTCCATAAATTTTAGTAACGAAAGTTACATATTTTTTGCCATAAGATTTTTATCAATTTTATAATTTTGAAAACTATAACTGATTATTGTTATAATGTTTAATTAACACTATTATCATGTGAATAAGAGCAATAAATGTAGAAAATATGAGCTATATTTGTAACGGGGGTACTGGGGTTGGATTAATAACTATAATCGTAGTTTTTAAACCTTTAATAAAAAACCCTGAAAGAACACATGTACAAAATTTTAATATACAATTAAAAGAAACAAGGAACATCGTGCTGGAAACTAAGCTACTTAATTAAATATTATATGTAACTGGTCTTTATAATTGTATAAACTAAGCGGAACATTAACTATAGCTATATACAGAAAACGATATAGCAGGAGATATATTTCAAATTACGTTATAAATAATCACTGTATTTAAACACCTATATTACAGACTAAATAACCAAAATAATGACCTACCCTAAGAGGGGTTTAAAGGATACTAATTGCAATTAATTACTTCTATTGTAACATCTAATTATATTATTCTGAAAATGATGATTACATTATTAAAACCTTTTCTTACTACATAAGAACTAAAATAACGTATGCTAAAATAATGAATAGATTTAATAAGCCGGACTCTGACATGAGTCAATATAAATGGCTACTATGGCAAATTATACCCTCCCAAGACAAAACCTACATTAGATATAACACACATACCTGTAAATTGCTGAAGATAGCAAAGTACTAAATATAAAGGTATTCCAAAAAATCACCAAGAAGGAAACATTGATATAAAGATCAATCTAAGGTGTTGTTGATATCTAGAAAGCTATAATATGAATGAACAAGGAAGAGTTTGGATGTTTCCAAGAGATACAGAAATTGACCCCAAGGACCTTCAAATTGACCAACCAGAAGCCAGAAAGTACACTTTAGACATTGTTAGTAAAGTGATATCAATTAGTAATAATTTTAATCAGTGCTCAGGTGAATGAAGTAAAACCTAGTAAACACATCTAACCTACATAATAATACACAGGTCAAAAATGTCGTCTGCTACATATTGATAAAAATTGTTTAATGTCTGTCCATGTTACAAACATTATCTTGAAATGACGATGCACGACTTAAAACGTGTATCACAAGAAAACTTTTGGAAAAACTATCTCCATATTTTTAATTTATTAACTAGATATGTTACATACATAGTAGCTATTGAAAAAATTATGAATCTATCACTTTTATTTTATGACCATCATGTCACATTACTGTACCCATTTAGCTGAAAATTGCCCATATACAAAACCTAAGTTGACTGTAGACGATTCTATTAAATTAGCGAGTGGAGAAGATATAGAAAACGAATTCGATAAACCTTGGAAAAGAAGTTTTAAAGATGATATTGTCATTCCAAAAGATAAACAAAAGAAATTTACTTTCAATGGAAAAACATACCTTCAAACTCGGTGGGTGTAAAATTCCGAATTCCCTATCTGTCCGAACTATCCGAATTGGGTCAGAAAAGACAAAAAAATCGAAACTAAATTTGCGCCAAAGGTCGTGCACAAATTCGGGAATGAAAACATTTTACATCAAAAAACGAATATTTTAAAAAGCTTTCATTTGGTCAAATCACAATTTCTTTCTTTATTTTTCGTGTACACCGTGCTAGTTGATGATAATGCCGTCTATGATATTTTTGATTTTTCATAAATATAATCGCTATTATTCAATGGGCACTTTTTGTTTTCTGTGATCGAAGGCGTCCTCCCATTATCTCCCTTGAATAGCAACCATGACACGTCAAGGTGACAACACAGTGGGAGATTTAAATCTAAATAGCTACACAAAGTTTGAACTCTTGGTTCTTGCTGTTTCCCACAACCAGGCAACATCTTCCCCACCCTTGTCACCTTCCCATTGCGAAAATGTGTTGGTCGATAAGGGGGCTGCGGGAAAAGATTGGAAACACACCTCTACAGCTACGTGGCATTGAGTGAATACCTGCAATTTTAGTGTCGATTTTTTTGTCTTTTCTGACCCAATTCGGAGAGTTCGGGAATTCGGAATTTCAGGAGCAGCTATGGGCAAACGATTTCCCCCAAACTATGCGAATATCTTTATGACTGAGTGGGAACGCGAAATGGGCCAAATTTCCCCTTTTAAAAGGCCATGTGCGCCATTTTTTGACCAATCATACTTTATTCTCAGAACGAGAATTTTTTTAGATAATCCCAAACAGTAATAGTATTCACAGCTCATCGTCGAAATTTAAGCCCCCAAATCCATGTGTATCCAGAATTATCCGCGTTAGAATGTTAAAATGACTACTCGTGTTATACAGAAAAGACATATATAAACAGATATATTGAAATGGAACGCTAAATTACTAGTTTGATGTAATTTGTAAGAATTATACGGTTTTCGTACATTTCTAGTGTTTCCGAAGGCTATTAACATATATTCAAGAACCAAATCAACCTCTGAAAATGACGCTACGACCCCTTTAAACTTCCTTTTTTATGGAAGCTTCCTCGAAGATATTTTTGTTATTTGGATCGATTCGCTAGAAAACTTTTGGCAATATTTTGAGATATTAAACAAAAACCATCCTTTACTAAAATTTACAGCAAACATAAGCGACAACAGTATGTATTTCTTTGACACTACGGTGTTCAAAGGAAAAGATTTTGAAGAAACGTCTAAAGCGGATATTTGAGTATTCTTCAAAAAAACTGATACGCACCAACTTTTATTCAAAGGCTCGTTCAATCCGCAGCATACATTTTTTACGATTATCAACTCAAAAATTCTAAGGTTCCAAAGGCTTTGTACTCAACAGACCGACTTTGATTCTGCGTGCAGCCTAGTTTTTAGTAAATTACGAGAGTGGGGTTATTCCAAAAGATTTTTACGTAAAATTAAAAACTTCAGTAGAAGCAAGATTCCCCTCCTTTACCAACTGGATTTGGCTCAAAACCTTGTGGTGGTTCTGCGTATCGTTCTGCGTACATGTACCTATTTCTGTCCCCTTTTTTAAAACAATAAAACCTGAAAAAACCTTTCTCAAATCTGACCAACTTTCATGTGTTGACCAAAATCTTATTAACCTGATTTCTGTAAAAAAAAAAAATACAAGTACATTGGAGAAACTATGAACGCGTTGCGAACTCATTTGGCCATCGTTACTATATAGTGCATGGCAAAAATAGACCAATTTCCAATCACTTTAACCCGACCATTCCATCGAAGACTTGTTGATTATGCCAATTGAAAAGATGCAACCTATGCCGAATATAAAGAAGACTACAGCGCGTTACAGAGAGTTATTAGATGGACCAACTTCAAATTGTATATCCTAATGACCTAAATATCCAACAGATCACACCTTTAGTTACAACCTACAACAATACTCCTTCCAACACCTCACATTAAACGCCATTATAAGCGTCTTCAAGACCATAATATCCCCATGTTTACTATAATGATATATATCTATTTATTAGTAATGTTAGATTCCTAGAAAATAACATACTGTGTTCGAGACTTGTTTAATGATATAATAAAAGAAATATCAACATAACAATATGATGATATAGAAGTATATATCCTCAGATAGTTCCATTGTTTGCTCTACCACGTTGAATTTAACATATTTTACATATGTGGTGTTTGCATTCGTCATAAAATTAATACTCCATGAGTTTGTATTGTTTTTATACTTATAGATTTTCATGAAAGCTGTATTCTCCCTTTTGAAAGAGTATATATTAAAGCAGTCTAAAATGAGACCTGACTTCCATTCGTATTTTATTAGTCTCGTTTCGAATGTTTTGTTAGCTATTAGCTTTGTACGTAACCACTACAGTAAGATCTTGACTTTTCATTTGTTAACCTTTGCTTGACCTCTGTTTTAACAAATCACGTGGCTGCCCTTTCCAGCGCCGGGATAATTTGACGTGAACAATAGGTTCATTCCGATATGTATTAGACTAGCAGACTTGATAAGTTAGTCTAATATGCCTCGGAGGTCAAGTAGTGGTTAACAGAATGAAAGGTCAAGAAGGACAGTGTTAGAGCGTAGGCCTACTGTAGTGGTTACGTACAAAGTTAATTAAACATTCGAAACGAAACTAATAAAATACGAAGGGAAGTTAGGTCTAATTAGACTGATAATGAAGCTGTGTTCGCCCCCTCCTGAAACAGTATATATAATATATAGTAGTGAAAGTATTTAGAGATTTACGGTAGTGTGGAGAGAAGTTTACTATTACTATTGCCCTTGTTCCTTGAAACACGTTCAATTTTTGTATTATGAGTTATTAACCTTGTTCTTGAAAACGCATTCAATATTTAGCTCTTCAACACTTCAAGGTTCGATTCTTGTAGGATTTTGACCAAACTTGGTAATATTGTTCAGTATTGCCCCAAAAAGTTCAAAGGAAGTGTATGACCGAAGATTGAGTATTTCATACTGGTGATTGTTACTGTAATTTTTATTTAAAATCAAAGCTGTAAGTGGGTGCATATTAACTTGCCTGACAGTAAGTTAAGACCAATTTTCTGTTTAAATCGAAAGTGAAGCAAACAATTTGACTGTACCATGTTTTTTTAACTTTCTTGACATTTGACCAAAATGGGTCAAAAATTGCAAAATTCTGCTGAAAAATGTGTGCTACAAATTTTCGAAATCTTGAAATTCTAAAACTGCTATCATATCAGATACATGTAGATTCCAAAAATGAAACCCGAAGAAAATGACCCAAAACTGCGACTTTTAGAGCCGATCTTTCTACTTTTTGCACATGTTGAACTGTGGCACTTCCGGTTTTTGCAAAAATGTTCCAATATATATTTAAGGAACTCGTTGCCACTACAGAAGGTCTAGAGAAGTTGAATGGTTGCTGCAACTACTGCAGTCTAAGCACAGTAAGGTTTTGAAAAAGAAAACAAAAAAAAACATTGACATTTTGATAACAAACTGCGACTTTGATTTTTCTGAATTTTTGACAACTTGATATGGCACAGTTCTAACATCTGAATTTATGAAATTAACACAGACTTGTCAGTTCTGTTCCAACTTTGGTTAGAATTTACTATCTTTCAGGAATAGCTACAGGCAGCATTTACAACGATTCTTTCATTCGCAAGCATGGCTTCACGGGAGAAGGCTATCGTGATGACACAGTAATCGTGATCAAAACTCATGAACTGGGGTTGAAAGAAAGAAGGAAATATCAGAAAGCTGTTGTTTTTGATCAGAGATCCATTAGATGCTATAAGAGCAGAGTTTAACCGACAATACAAAGGGCAACTAGGTTACGCTCCATATTCCGTCTATAGAAAAAGTAAGTAGCTGTCATAAAATAATCTTAAAATGAAATGAATGGAGTTTTACGTCCTACTTTTCTGCACCATGTGAGCTAATGAAGACGCCATGTAGGGTGCAGTGAAGGAAATTTGGACAGAACAGCGACATTAGCCTGTTATTCGATTTTCAACTGTCGAGGGATCTTTAACGTGCACTGCCTGTAACACACGGGTCCTCGGTTTCTTGGCCCATTCGAATAACTAGATGCTTTTTCCATGTCAGTCCCTCCCCTACATCACTGATAGGGGGGAAGCCGGGTTGTAATCTTATTTCGAGACAATATAGGTTGGTACTGTGGTTATGCGACAAAAAAAACACATGTGTGGGCTTGGTTATCTGATGAAGGGATCATAGGCATGGCAAATGTAAACCCCTTGATGAACTCCTTCACCTTTAAAATGTCTTCACCAACCTCAATGGCTTTCCGGAATCTTTTACCAAAACCATCATTGATCAGACCCGATTGAACGACATCAACCCCACCGAAGCATAACCCCCATCACCGATCCGAATCTCAATCCCATTTATTGGCAAATTATCCTAACAAATTCAAAGACTACTCAAGCAAACCGTATTCTCATCCGGGTGCACAATTCGAGACATTCTTAAGGCTAACGACAAGCTACAACCGACTATACCCCCAGCTCCCAAAGGTTGCGTATACAAGATAACCTGCTCGTGTGAGGAGGAATATATCGGTGAAACCAAGCGCCCCCTCAATCTCAGAATCCAAGAACATCTATCCCTAGCCCCAACTCAAACCTCTGCAGTATCAGAACACCTAAAGAATATCCGACGGCAAAAGATCAAAATAGAAGACATCAAAGCGCTCACTCAACATAAATAAGAAAACCAGATAAATAACTGAAGCCTCTGAGATAAGAAGACATCAACCCAAGCTAAATAGAGACCAAGAGGTCTACATTTCCAATGCCTATGATCCCCCGATCAAATAACCAAGCCCACACATGTGTTTTTTTCACATAACAACCCCCCCCCCTCCTCCCCCCATCCGATTTTCTTTTTCTTATGCATAGTTCACCTAATGTTATCCCCCATCATGGATTCCCATTCATAAAATCCATAATGGTGTCCAGTTATTTAGACTCTAAGATAATTGTTCCAATAATCATCAAATGTTTGTCTCTTCCAGATTGGCCAGCGTTTACTGGCGAAAAAGCCATGATATGGTATATGTTTTACTTGGATTGGTTGGAATTCAAAGGGCCATTGCACGTGATTCAGTATGAAAAACTACGAAATGACACTGCTCACGAAATGCAGAAATTGCTAAGGTTCTTAGCCGTACCGTATACGCAATCGGATATGTCTTGCATGTTGAGAAACAGAGAGGGGGATTTTAAGAGAAAAGCTGTTAAAAAACTTAAACCATTTCAGAGATTTCCTTATAATATGACAAAGTTGATCGAGTCGTGCAAATTGAACATCACAAAAATATTGACTAGAAATTGAAGCCTTGTTTTGTGGGGATTTATAGAGTTTTCTAGAAAGTGATAGGGAAGATTTGGTTATTTAATATGGAAAATCAAATGAATGGAATTCTACCACCTGCTCTTGCTGCATCTAATTGGGATTATGAAGAGGGGTAACGCCATGCAGAGGAACATATTTTCAGAAAAGCTACATTAGCCTTATCTTTTTTTTTCGATTTCCAACTGTCCAGGGATTTTTTATTGTACTGAGCTTGTAGCACACCATCTTCACAATGACAAGCAATTACTAACGTCATATCATCAGTGAGACACAAAAAGTGAAGTATCAATTCCGGCACAGTAGTTATAGTCTTTTCAGATTGAACGCACATAGGCATAAAACGTATTTATGCCTATGTGCGTTCAATCTGAAAAGACTATAACTACT